TAAATAAATAAATAAATAAATAAATAAATAAAATAAATGAATCCTATGACATAAGAAATGCAGGAAATTGGTTAAAATTAGAGGCCTCGGCATCGTGGAGACAAGGTTCAAATCATACAGACCTCACACTAGTTCTGTGACCCTGAATAGATTGCTTTTCCTCACTTATCCTGAGTTTCCTCCTTAATATAAAAGGGGGAATAATACTTAAAAGGCTTGCCATGAAGTTTAGAGAATGCTTGGGCATATGTGTGTTGTGTAGTCTGCCCAGCAGATGGGAAGGTCTCATAATGACAGATACTGTTATAGTCACCAAGAACCGTCCCTTACCTGGTCATGGGCATTGGATGTTTTCTCCAGGCTTTCTCATTTTCTATGAAGTGAGAGAAGGGATTTATCTGGCTCTGAGCTATGAGCTCGGCGATGGAGACAGGGTAGGCCTGGAAGTCCAGGAATCCAGAGCCCAGTAGATCCCAGCCAGCAGCATGGGCATCACCTGGGAGGGTGTTAGATATACAGGATCTTAGGCCCCACCTCAGACCTACTGGATCAGAATCTGCATTTTAACCACATCCCCAGTAATTTGTTTTAGCCACGAAGGTTTGAGAAGCCCTGGCATAGGTGTTAGGGGCATTGGTACTAGGGCCTCTAGGTAGTCCGTGAACCCTAAATTAGGATTATCTAGCTCACGGTTACTGTCTCTCTTTTTTTTTCGCTGTGTGTTGATTCTCTTATTTCTTTTTGCGGGTTTTATTGGCCCCTTTTGAATTTGTCTTGCACAATATTTAGATTATTGCTTTAATAAAATCCATTTAATTAGACTGCAATGTTTATACAGTGAACGTTATGTCCATTCAGCACGTAAAGAAATTGAGGACTGCAAATGTAAAACACCATCTCCTACTCAGTTCACCTCAGCTAGGAGTCCAGTTGAGCTCTCAGTGCTTCCAAAGCCAGCTCTTCACAGTGCTGCTTGGATTAATAGCTTCTCGTGGATCACATGAAGAACCAACCAAGCACATTCTCAGAGTGGGCAGTTTGTTTTTCTTCCTTGAACTTAGACCATCTAAATCTTAGCCTAAGAGTCAAAGAATAGAGAAATTTCAGTGTGCAAGGAAGTTCTAGACTCACAGATCTTTTCCATAAGCTTGTAGAAGCCACTATATTTAGCTTTTCTGTGGTGAAAATGGCTTTCTTTCCTTCTTAAAATAAGAGCCGTCTTCTGTCACTGGAACTCAGACAGTGTTGGCTTCCATGAGGAGTGTGCGGCAGTCAGAGGACTGAGCATATGTCTGTTCTTTTCCCTATTCTTTCATCTGACTTTCTACATATTTTTAGTCAAGTCTCACTATATATTTTTTTCCTCATATTTTACGTTTTTGAGGTTCTGATAGCTTCCCGAGAGGACTTTATCTCTAGACTCTGAAAGAGACCCTGAGACCGTTTCAGAAACAAACAAACAAAAAACCAAAATGTATTTAGTATGAAGAAAAAAAACAAAATTTCAGTGTCCTTCATTTTAAACTCTGATTTTTTTTTTTCTTTTTTGGCATTTCGTTCAGGTTGAAATAAGAAGCATTGGAACAATATATAAGATAAGAATAGGACACGATGGAACGAGCCAGCGACCGGAGTGGAGCTTGCAGAGGGTAATTGTGCTTTTCATTTTGTGCTTCCTAGACATGCTTAACGAAAAGAAGCAAGCATGCTATGTAAAACAATGAGAAGTCTTACATATTTTCCTAATGGTCATAAATAATGTGGACAAAATGTTTGTGGACAAAACATTCTAAACAAATATGGTTCATTCTTTTTTTTTTTTTTGGAGAGATTTTTCACTATAGGGCGCGTGCACTCGCCAGACAGACAGAGAGAGACATAGAGACCGAAAGCGAGAAATCACCCCCCAGGGGGGATGGTCACGCCGCAATCCCTTCTGCTCCATTCTCCTCTTGGGATCTTGGGCACGCACGCACACGCGCCCGGCGTGAGTTTTAAGCCACCGGGTCCGGGACGCGAACCGCGGTCGACTACGTGGGAGTCCAGCGACATAGCCATTACACTAACTGCTGGTTCCCAAATATGGTTCATTCTTGTGAAAGTGTTTTTCTTTTTCTTCTTTTTAAAAATTGGCCAGGTGGCGTGTGTACTCACCAGAGAGAGAATGGGGAGTGATCACACAGCACTCCCTTCTCCAGCTCTCCCTCCTCAGGGTTTTGGGCACAACCACACGTGCCTGGCATGTTTTTTTTTTTTTTTTGAGAGATTTTCACTGTAGGGCGTGTGCGCTCGCCAGACAGACAGAGAGAGACATAGAGACAGAAAGTGAGAAATCACCCCCCAGGGGGGATGGTCACGCCACAATCCCTTCTCCTCCATTCTCCTCTCGGGATCTTGGGCACGCATGCACACGCGCCCGGAGTGAGTTTTAAGCCACCGGGTCCGGGACGTGAACCGCGGTCGACTACGTGGGAGTCCAGCGACATAGCCATTACGCTAACTGCTGGTTCCCGTGCCTGGCATGTTTTTCAAGCCTCTGGGTGCAAGACTCAAACTGTGTTGTCAGGCAGGTGGAACGCATCTCCTTTAACCAATGGGCCGCAGGCTGGCCCACAAAAGTTTTTTATTTTTTTAAATAAGGTTTTCATGGTTATATTTGTAAAGATAATGTGTTTGTGGAAGAAACTATGAATAATACAATTAAGTGTAAAAATAAAAATATTTATTGGTTATTAGATGACTATTCTATGGTTTGTGTTCTTAAATCTTTTTCGCTTTCATGAATCTCTCTCATTTTACCTATCATGTATATACTTTGTGTTTCTTTAGCAGTATAAAATATACGTAAAATATAGACCTATAAATATATGTATACTATACTAGATATACTACTACTCAGCCAGTTTGCCCTTTTAATGAAATTGAATCAAGACCAGCAGTTGGCTTAATGACTGTGTTGCTGGACTCCCACATAGTCAACTGTGGTTCGAGTCCTGGACTTGGTGACTTAAACTCACGCCAGGTGCGTGTGCGTGTGTGCCCAAGATCCTGAGAGGAGAATGGAGGAATAGGGATTGAGGCGTGGCCATGCCCCCTGGGGGGTGATTTCTTGCTTTCTGTCTCTCTGTCTCTCTCTGTCTTTCTGGCGAGCACATGTGCCCTGTAGCAAAAACTTCTCCAAAAACAAAAAAGTAAAAAAGAAATTGAATCGTGTTATATATGCACTTTGGGACCCTGCCATTTTCTTTCTACTTAATTGTGGTAATAACAATAATTACATTAATAAGAATGTTTATTGAGTGCTTGTCACATAGCAGTTGCTTTTCATATACTATCGTACCTCTGCCTAACAGTAACTCTTTGACTTACTGAGACTCAATAAAGTTACATTATTCACTGAAGTCTCTTAATAAATGGCCTCACTGTATATTAGACTCCAGAGACTGAGATCATCAGCATTACCACTGCCCTGCTGTTTGCACTCAAAGACAGACAGCAATTACATTCTGAGAAGCCTTCAGATTTCAGTATGGGAGCAGATTAAGTGGGGGCAGACGACAGGTTTGAATCATAGAACGTCTCTGCTCTCTACTTTAAATACTATGTCTATTACTGATTCCTTTATAGTGCTTAATGTTATTTTAAAATATCTGTGATTTAAAATTTGAATACCGCTGATAGAATCTAGCAAAATATCATTTTTTCCCATTTGAAATGTTTCTTTATATATATATATATTTTTTTTTTTGAGAGGTTTTCGCTATAGGGCGCGTGCACTCGCCAGACAGACAGAGAGAGACATAGAGACAGAAAGCGAGAAATCACCCCCCAGGGGGTATGGTCACGCAGCAATCCCTTCTCCTCCATTCTCCTCTCGGGATCTCTGGCACGCACGCACATGCGCCTGGCGTGAGTTTTAAGCCACCGGGTCCGGGACGCGAACCGTGGTCGACTACGTGGGAGTCTAGCAACATAGCCATTACGCTAACTGCTGGTTCCCTATCTTTTCTAAGATTTTTATTATGATGTCTTTTGTTGTATAATAAAGGTGAATGGGAAACTGTTAATGTTGCTGCAATAGTTTAACATTTCTCAGCACATACATAATGTAACGAAATGTGACCACATAGCGCGGGACAGGTGAGTGGTCCAGTCAGTCCAACGGGAAGCATGGGAAGCATGTTCTGAGTACCTGCTCTGGCCTCCCATGCTCCAGACGCTGTGGGGAGTGGGGAGAAACTGGATATTGACTTAACGTTTTCTATTCAGAAGTACTGAAGGATCTTAAAGCAGTGGCAAGCAGTGATCTATTAAGATACCAACCCATGGAACCTGCAGAGTTTAGAACTACATTATTTAATCCTTGGGGATTACTTGGCAAGTTGAATCAGGGCATCTTAGAAAAGACCCGTGAGTTAAGGTGGCCTTAATGCCCAGCATGGCCTGGACTTTCTCTGAGCCTTGTGAGAAGGGTATTCAACACCGCTGTGTAGTGATTCTCCAACTCGACAGAACGCCATCCCCAGCAGAACCTGAGGCGGGAGCACTCGGTCCAGGGAACTGAGGGCAGTGTCATCCATTCCCCTGGTCAGCGTTACTCGAAGGTATCTGTGAGCAACGTAGAACATTAGTTAGAACATTAGGTAGAACACTAATAAACTAATTCAACAAATGAATCGAGCACCCACAACTGTGACTGAACCACCAAAGTGATGGGAAAGGAGAGATTTTTTCTTATAACTTAGTTAATTTTTTAATTTTGACTTAGAGTTTATAAAAATATGACAGGAATGAAACAAAGAACTCTGATTTCCCCTGGATTCCGCAGTTGTTTTTGACATACCCGTTTGCTTTATCATGTTTTGTTACAATGTGCGTATTATTTGGCAGATGTTTACTGATATGATGTGTAAAGACACTTGGCTATATAATATCTTATTCATCATAAATTTTTTTTTTAGTCTCCCCCTTACCCCAAACATAGGATATGTGCACTTGCTGGAGAGATGCAGAGAGAGGCAGAGAGAGGCAGAGAGAAGGATAGTAAGAAACCACATACACACACATACACAGACACAGCCGAGGGCATGGCCATGCCACAATCCCTTCTCCTCCATTCTCCTCTTGGGATTTTCGCAAATACTTGGTGTAATTTTAAGCCACTGGACCTGAGACTCAGCCATATGGTTGTCTAGTGCCTTAACCAGCACGCCACCTGCCGGCCCTCATCGTAAAATTTTTACCCACTAATTTTAGCACCCATTTTATGATTCTTACTTGAATCAGTTATTACTATTATTCTTGCTAAATGGCGATTTTCTAATTCTGCTAGTACCTCATTTATTATTTCACATTCTACTACAAACTGGAACTTTCCCTTCTTTCAACTTAAACATTTTATTAATTTTAAAACCCTGGCATGTATTTATGGATTCTTAGTTTTAGATGGGTTAAGCAATTTTTGTCATAATGTATTTTGATGCTGAAATCATCCTTAATTTGGCCCTTTAATTTCCAGTATCCCTTAGACATGTTACCATCCACTTCATGAGGGCTTACTTTCTGACTAGAAAGATGTTTCAGGCTCATCTTTTCTTTTCTCCAACACTGGGACACTGGAATCAGCTATTTCTCAAGGAGCCCTAGTCTCTCTCAGTGGGGAATGGTACTTAGAAAGCAGTATTTGTGTAAGACACGCAGAGGAGTTAATCTCCCCACAAATGCCCGCTCCCCTCAGCCCAGAGGCCACTTCCACTGATGGGAGAACTAGGCCACACCTCTGCTTTCCTGAGGTGCTCCCCAGGAGTGTTTCCATGGCGAAACGAGTCTGTGAAGCACCAGCTGTTTCATTCCTCTCTTGGAGCATCACAGTGCATATAAATATCGTAAAGGCTCTGAGATGCCCTGTGGTAAGGAAATCTGTTTAACAGCATTTCCGAAACTGAAAATTCCACGGGGCTGTATTTTTTCAGGTAAAATATATTAACATCCTATGAAATAATTATTGTGCATTGCTGCAGAGGCCTGAGGCATTTGGGAGCTCATCTAGGAGAAGGCTGTGCCCCCGAGGCAGAGGCGCGAGCACATGCACATTTTTCCAGGTGGCACTGTGACAAGCGTGCGTGTGGAGAGAGTCGTTCTTAGCAGGAGTCCGTACAGAGGCTGCTGCACAGGTCTCTGCTCACAAGGGGAGGGAGGCCAGGGAGCTCGCCAGAAGTCTAAGGTCTGTCTCTGAGCCCACGGCAAAGTGGGAGCTTCTGAAGCAGGGAGCTCTTGAGCCTCCACAGCAGCAGCCCCAGGCCTTGTGACCGTTAGGCCCATCTGACACGTGACGGGCCTCCAAAAGCTCATGGAAAGTGTGCAATATGAAAAAAATGTGTGTAGATAGCAAAAGCTTTTTGAGCCAAAATAAGCTCATACTTTAGGTTCACAAACTTTTTGAAGCTGTGGGGTAAAGTTTTTTCCATTATGAAGAGCAGACAGTATCAAAATACCTGAACTTTTTCTCGTTGGTGCTAGTTATTGTTTATTGTTCTAAGAATTAGGTTATTTTTTATTACCATTGTGTAAAAATTTGAGTTTTGTGTCTATGGCCTTTTTGGTCTCAGCTTACATGGAGAAATAAGCAAAATCAGGGCCTAAATATACA